TGACTTATACTGTCTTTTTACGTGTTGTGTTGCATCGCGCCGCATAAACATTTGCTGCACACATCTGAATATTTGGGTTGATGTGTTCTGGAACAGTGTTGTAAATACAACTTAACCACTGATTTCTAATCGTGTCAGCTTTCACAACAGAACACAGCGTCACACACGATGGCCTAGAGTGAGCGGTGGCGGCCTAGAGTGAGCAGAGGCCAGGGGCTAGAGTGAGAAACGGCCGGAGGGCTAGAGTGAGCAGAGGTGGCGGGCTTGAGAACGGCGCAGCCGGCGGATTCGACGAAGGAGTGTCCCAACCAGCACGGATCAGCTCCAGGCTTGATGAAGCGGATATCGTCCTCTTTTGGAAAGCCAACCAAAGTAGTTTCGCTTTCACAAAGAAACAGCGCCTTCACGACATGGCAGCGGCGGCAACAACAATACTACAGCGAGAATAAAAGTTATCCCTTCTTTCTTTGCGTGAACATTTGGGCGGTGTTAATAAAATCTTCCCACATCGTGACAGACATGTGGGGGCGTGTTAGAACAAGCCATTTTAGGTAGGCTTGGTTGACTTAAACCCAAAGAGATATTCTTTATAAAAGTTGAGACTTTAGTCTTTGCAACTTTACAGATCTTCTTTATGCACCAAGAGCTTGTAACACTCCAAAGAGAAAGGAAAAATTTAAGTCGCATCATATGACCCCTTTATGACACGACACGATACATTAGATCTTGATACGATGACAAACTGGCCCAGGACTTCAAACACAAGGACAATAAATAGGGAGCAAATGAGGAGGGTAACGAGGGAACACATGTGGGGCAAATTAACCAATAATCAGGTAACAAGATGGGTGGGGTCAAGACAATTGACATGAGAGCACATGGCACACAGGAAACAAAGACAAAAGCCATGTGCTCACACAAAACAAACACAAGCACATGGCCAGCAAAACAATCACAAGCCATGTGCTTGAACATAACAAGACACGAACACGCAGCTCATAAGCCGCGTGTTCACACAAGACAAGACAGCACGCAGCCAGCGAAAACCAAGCTGCATGCTACACAGCACAAGACAAAACAAGACATGAAAGCACGCAGTGTGCAACAACACAAGACAACAAGAAAAGCACGAGGCTGAACACAAACCGCGTGCTACACAATATACAACACACGTGGACAGAAGAGCGCACGGCCGAGCGAACTCGAGACCGCACGCTCCCAAAACAGAGTAGTAAATTATGTTTATCTGAAAGTGTAACAATGCAAACAGGTTTTCTATAAGGGGTTGGTTTAGGGTTAGGGGATAGAAAATATAATTTGGTCAGTATAAAAGTAACAGAAGTCTATGGAAAGTCCCCACAATTCACAGAAAGAAAAAAAAAAGTGTTTAACTGTGAGTGTGGAACATTAGGCTTCAATTAATGCATAAATAACATGTTTACAATCTTGGCCAATAGTACGAGCAATCCCAAAACTCCTTCAGGCCTATTCTTAACTCACTTCATTAAATTAGGTAAAAGTTGTACACAGTGCTACAAATATGTTTTAATAAAAAGAGACATAAGGAACACTTTTATTCAGGTATTTTATTAATGTATTCATGTATTTTACTTTCCATTACAGATATCAATTTAGTGGACACCTTGCAGGGCATATTTGTTCAGAATTTCTGTTTAGCTCTGTTGTGACAGTTTATGAGATTGTTTGATAAAGTAAACAATATAATACACTTTTTTTTTTGTAAATTCCAATGCTTATGTTTTATAGATTTAAACATGGGAGTAGTAGTGATATACAGTACATAGTGTCTTTGTGTTTGACTGTGGTTTATTTACTTACTAAAATAGTCATTGGTTAAAATCATGTCTCCTAATGCATGGTGTCTACTACAGATATAGGCCTAACTTTAATAATAATAATAATAATAATAATAATAATAATAATCACGGAAAAGCACAAAAGCTGTGGTTTTGGAGTATATTTTTCAATCAGAGATAAATAGTTCCCCAAGTACAACATGTTTATATTTATACATTTTAGAATTAATTGGTGTTATATTATAGGAAATAAGGGGTTCTGTGTTTGTGTATTTACATAATACTGTGGGATGGTTCTTTCATTTGTGAATTAATTATTGGAAGTTAATTAATTAATTTATATATTTAGTGAAGTACATTATTTATTTATGGTTGTTGCATGGTCCTAAGGTAAACTGCCTTGAAAGTGGCAGTGAAAGTTTATTGTGATTTATTATGGGTTTTGCCCATGATATGTTTCCTTGTGTTTTGCTCTGGCTTGAGTAAGATAATGTAGCATTTTGGTGTAAATATACAGAATAGCAAGCCAAAACTAGAGGCTAAGATCGCAAATATCTCCACAGCTACAGTAAATTTTCCAGGAGAACTGACATAAGCTGGGATAAAGGTGATCCAAACAGCACAGAATATTAGCAGACTGAACGTGATGAATTTGGCTTCATTAAAGTTATCAGGCAGCTTTCGAGCAAGAAAAGCCAAAACGAAACATAGGACAGACAGCAAACCAATATAACCAAGCACAGCCCAGAAACCTATAGCTGATCCTAGATCACATTCAAGTATTATTGTATCTAATGAATGGGTAATATTTTTATACGGGATTGGAGGGGCTAATACCAGCCACAGAGTACATATTATTACCTGAAAAAAAGTGCAACAGAAAACACTAACTCTTTGTAAGGGCAATGTACATTGAGGAACACTTGTACCAGGCACTGTGGCCTTGAAGGCCATTACCACTGCTATTGTCCTTGCCAGAACACAAGACATACAAAGGGCAAAAGTGATCCCAAATGCTGTGTGGCGCAACATACAGGACCACTCAGTAGGCTGACCAATAAAAGTGAGTGAACAGAGAAAACACAGAGACAGTGAGAAAAGCAGAAGGAAGCTCAGTTCTGCATTGCTAGCCTTCACAAGAGGAGTGTCTATGAAGTGGTAAAACATCAGTGCAACTGCAATTGTTAAAGACACCCCGGTTAACGAGAATGCAGTCAAAAGTATTCCCATGTTTTCCTCAAATGAAAGGAACTCCACTTTCTTGAGGACACACATACTGTGGTTTTCATTTGACCAGTGCTCTAAAGGACATTTGATGCATTCAGCAGAATCTAAAAAGACAAATAGAGCATAACATTCTTATACACACACATTTAATTTAATTTTTTTTAATTAGATGAAAGCAAGCACACATATTTTTTGTATATATATATATATATATATATATATATATATATATATATATATATATATATATATATATATATATATATATATATATATATATATATATATATATATATATATATATATATATATATAGTGCTATACTTGTAGTTTTTGATAAAAAGGTGTTATGTATCTTTATGTATCAAAATGCTGGTCATCTCACCAGTAGTACTGCTGATTTCTCCAGAAGGGCACCGCAAACATTCAAAGCAGCATACTGGTCTCCCTTTGATCACAGCTTGTCTGAAACCTGGCCGACAGCTCTCACTGCACACTGAACTCGGTTTCTGCCATGTTTACACATTCTTACTTTGTTGCACTTATTTTTACTTTCTTTTATGTCACTGACTTATCAAGTACTCAACATAATGATGTTATGTTGTACATACCGTGTGACTGTCTCCTGCCCAAACTATATTGATAGAATTCATGACAAACTGCTGTTCACTGGGTAGTGAGGCATCATAGTGTCCTACAGTAATAAAAGTTGTTTCCCCTGCTCCATTTTTCTGCCAGTTTACTAGTTCATATCTTGCCGTAGGGTCTCCATTTTGGTCAAAGTATATCGTCTCGCCTGAGGCCATTGTGAAATTCACATTTTGAAGAGAATGCATTACCTGTGACCATTTTAAAACACTGTTAAAATGTATAATAATAATAATAATAATAAAGTAAATACATATTTAAAAAAATATATTTACAAGATTTACTTACTTGGCTGGAAACTATTAAATCCTTTGTTCCACATGTCCCTTTGTTTTCAGGTGCACCTTTTGAGGTTTTGCAAGCCAATGTGTTATGCAAAGCATAAGCTATAGCGTAAACTGCCTTATATACATTATTTGAAATCCTTAGCTCAGATACATCTGTGAACTCATTACTCATATTACTCAGATTTTCAGATCCATTACAAAACTTCTCATGCTCAGTTTTAGAGCTGATTGTAGGAAAGAGATGGCATCCAAATGCCATCTCCCAAAATTCCCTCAGAAGAGCATTTGAAGGGTTTTGAGATGGATTGACCTTAAGGAGAAATTCTCTCAAGCCTGGAATTTTTGACTTGCTAATTGTAAAACCAACTGCACCACCAAGGACTTTTGAAACAATTTTGGTTGCCAAGTATCTCGCTGTAATCCAGGATTCACTGCCTACCCACTGTAGCCCGGTTACATTCTGTCTGATAATCTCCTCCAGCAACACATCCATTTCACCCTGTGCCAAAAATGCCACAAGAACTTTAGCAGTGCCTTTTTTTATTACTTCAACAACCTTAGCAATCTTCTCTTTGGAATTTGTCCTTGATATGGCCTCTGAATATTCAATGCATACTCCTTCTCTCTCGGCTACCTCTACAAAGGTTGCCATGCCATTGTTTCCATAGTCATTATCACTTCTCACTGCTCCAACCCATGTCCAGCGGAAATGTTTGACTAGTTGTGCTAGAGCTCTGCTCTGGTAGAAATCACTGGGAATAGTTCTGAAGAAAGAAGGAAACTGCTTTCTGTTGCTCAGGCAGGCACAGGTAGCAAAATGGCTTATCTGTCAAACAGAACAGATGAAAATAACAAGAAAACATGTTTCTTTTTATCTTCAAATATTTTATAATCGGAAACATTTATTTCACTTTTATTTCACATTTATTTTGTTTATTTATTCTATGTATTTCACCACAGGAATCCTGAAGGGCCCTGTTGCTCTGGATAGTACAATGGTTGAGGAGGACTCAGATTCTCCAATAATGGCTTTAACTGCTGTTTTTCCAGAGCAGATGTGTTCTGCTGTCAACTCCTGACCATTAATCAGAGCCATTGATGATCTCATAGAGGCTAATGTGGAACCGCAGCTGTCAAATATTTGGTATCCAATCGAAATGTTTGGGAGTAAGCTCGCCTTGCTGTTAATTTCTTCGATGGCAAAGATCATGGTCTGAGCAAAACGGAATTCTCTCAAATTAAGGCTGAGAGAGAGAGAGAGAGAGAGAAAGAGAGCGAGAGAGAGAGAGAGAGAGAGAGAGATTTTGTAGTATGGTTTGTCTTGTTGCAACTAAACAACTTATTGGAAATAATAACAAACACCTTATTTCACAAAATAAAATCTATTACATAGGTCATATATATTTACACTGTAAAATTAATAACAGAGAAGCAAAGAAGTAACAAACCTGGTGCACATTAGGCGATGGGGTTTTTCTGTAAAGGATGGCATTTCCAAATTTATTTTGCTGTGAATTGAAAAAGCTCCTCCGATGATAATGTCTCCATCCTTGGACAGCAGGGCATACTCTGGTAACCCTATCATACTACAGTTAACCTTTGTTTCCCCCTTTGTTTTAATGCTGCAAAGCAGCAAGAACCCAAAGACAAGCATCACATAGACTCTAGGCCCTCCCTCAATCTTCTGATGATGATGAGTTTGTTTATATAGTGTTTGTCAGACTCATTATGAGCACATCATGAACAAAGTTATGTAATAATGTGGTGTAAATCTATCAAACCCCAGTGATGTCATAATGTTGTAACGGGTTCCAAGAACCTTACCTTTCTTGTTTGCCATTGATTTTGTCAGATTACAGACCGAACTGTATGGTAGAAAGATACAAGTTTGTCTCAAAATCATGAAACCTGCTTTTATGTAAATTACCAATGCAAATGCAAAAAACAAATTAAAAAACAAATTAAACCAAAAAAATCATTTTTTTCTCTCATACTTTTATTAACATTTTGTCAGGGCTTAGGTTTGATAGACCTCTCTTCTTTCCTGCACAATGCTTTGTTTTTGTTTTTTTCTGCACATGACGGCCGCATTGCGTTTCGCAATTAGTGTGGCTGTGCACGCACTTGCAGCTGTTTGTTATTTCATTCAATTTGCCAAATGACTAACTCCAGACAGGCTGGCTGGGCACTGTCCTTTGGGTGCTTTAACTTCATACTGTCTTACAAACCGGGTTCCAAGAACAGTAAGCCTGACGCTCTGTCCTGGCAGTTTGGTGAGCTTGTCGATGAGCCTCCTTCTGACACCATTTTGCCTTCAGGCAGTGTGGTGGGGGCCGTTGCCTGGGGTGTCAAGGGTTGGGTCAGGCGAGCTCTAGCTGGGGTTGGGGTGCCTGTAGGGTGTCCGGCGGGTCTGTTATTTGTGCCTGACACCATCTTACAATAAGGTCACTCTTCCAAACTCATGTGTCATCCGGGTGTGAGGAGGTCGCTTTATAGGTCCATATCCCTTGGTCATCAGTCCGATGGCGGTGTGGCTTCGGTTGCCTCATTCTCTTCGTCATATCCATCCAGTCTTTTATGTTTCTTGTGTCAAACCTGTCCAACGTTCTCCCCATTCATGTTTGTACCCCTGTCCCACCAACGTGATCTTATGATAATTCGTATGTATTTTACATAAAATGTGGTTCTATAAAACGTACATTTACTTCCATTTTTACAGGCTCTAAAACGTACAATTCTGACTCATTTTCAGCATCTAAACATACAAATACTTACGTATTTTCAGCATTTAAACATACAAAACTGACGTATTGACGACATATAAAAATGAATCCTTATGAATATTGAAATTGCGGCATTCATTTTATTATTATTGTTGTTTTTTAAACGTACAAATACTTACGTATTTTCAGCATTTAAACGTACAAATACTTACGTATTTTCAGCATTTAAACGTACAAAACTGACGTATTGACGACACCTAAAAATGAATCCGTATGAATATTGAAATCGCGGCATTAATTTTATTAGTTTTTAGTTGTCATATCAATTACCTTGTTTTCAATTGCATTATTAAATTGTTTACTCGTTTGCTTAATATGAAATGATAACATTTCATTCTGTTCTGTGTGATTTCTGCTGCCAGCTCGTTTCCAAGAATAGGCCTACATGTTAAACAAGACTTCACTTTAAACCCTTAAAATAAATAACATTTCTGAAATCGTTTAACCTTTACTTGTCATGTAATGTTTACTTTTTTTGCCATGGGCCACAAAAGGTGTTTTCTCAGACATGCTGTGACTGACAATAGAACTGTAAAATACACCAAAAACGCAACATAATTACGAAATGAAAAAATTGTATTAGTGCGCTGTAATCCAAATCTTCCGAATCCATATGGCTGCGAGGAACAGACCCAAATCCAAACTTTTATTTGGCGATCTTCATCTCAATCCCGAGCAGCGAGTCCAGTGACCGTAAGCATCAAAGCCCACGGTCACGCGCTCTTTACAAATTCAAATGTTGCCGCTTCAAACGACAGGTTTTACGGCAGGATAATCGAACGCTCATTGGCTCTTGCCTGCATTCGTCACAGATTGTCACATGCCATGTTTCTGGTGAGGTGTGTTTGAATGATGCGCGAGTGCCTTCACGAGTTCAAGGAGTGGATCGGGAAAATAATTTGGATAATATTCTCAGCGATTAACAAGTTAAATTCTACTCTGCACCTCACACAAACCTACTGTATTTTGCAGGCAAGGACTGCGGCTGCAACGCATCGTCATTTGGATTACTTTTGGTACTGCTTTTGAAATTTTTGCAATAAATAAACGAGGCAGATTCTGGGTCGTAGCGCTAATATATGAAAAAACATTTTGTAAGCTTTATATTTTAATCTCTGAACACATGGGGACAAAATTTTGGCAGAGATGTCCTTGTTATCCTGTGGGTGGCGCACTAATGTTGATTGAAAGGATCGAAGTAATGTTAAACGCATAAAATGCTGTATAATTATCAGTGTTGGGCAAGTTACTCTGAAAATGTAATCAAATTACTGATTACTGATTACTCCTTTTAAAAGTAATCACGTTACTGTTCTGATTACTTTATTTCAAAAGTAATTAGTAATTAGTTACATTACTAGTTACAATACTTTTTTCTCCATGAAATTTATGAAATCCCAGCATACACGCTCCCAAAAAATATTTGTTATTAAAGCATCAACATTCACAGAACACTGTTATTTTTAACTAAAGCAAGCGGATGCGTGCATGGTTTGACACGGCAGAATGCCAGCAAAGAGTGCTGCATTTATAATCTCTAAAAGACATCTCAGTTCATCGCAATCTCACAAATCTCTGTTATAACACAATAAATACAGTATATGCATAATGAATCTTTCATAATGTCTACAATTCGTGTGTTATAATGAGAGGATTCGTGAGCAAGCAAATTTCAGCACTGCATTGCTCAACGCTGCAAACAAGTGTTATAGCCTAAATAAAAACTCTGCATATGCTTGCATCTGTTAATCGTTTATATTTTATATTAGTTCATGTTGCTTTTGTGCAATAGATGAATAACAATTTTTTTGTTTTAGATTTTTTATGTTTAGATATTTCTATTTTGCGGGAGTCCCGTGAATCATTTTATTCTCCCGCATCACGCACACACACGAGTGTCTACCCGCCTGCACCAGCACTCGCCCATCTTGTCTCGCGCCGCACTCTGTTGAGTCGGGTCTCGCGGGAACAGGTCTCTAATCCACTGGCACTTGACTCGACAGTGCGTGTGCTACATCCTTTTTACAATCTCTAGATTATAAAACACTGCATTCTGTTATGGAATGCCAATCCTGCCATAATTAGAAATAAATAAATAAATGTACAAAGAAATGCAAAAAAGAAAAAATAAATTATTATTTATCATTTTATTTCCTTATGTATGTTTTTATTTGTTTTCCACATTTATTTATTTTTTCTTTTATTTATTTATAAATTTATTTATTTCCACTTTTATTTATTTTCACATTTATGTATTTATTTACGTATTTATTTATTTATTTATACATTTATTTATTTTTACATTTATTTATTTTCACATTTATTTATTTATACATTTGTCTGTAGGGAGGGTAATGAGGAGGGCGTGTTTTACCTCAGGAATAGCAATCGAGTCAGAGTAGGTGAGGGGAAAGCTTTGAGGCCACAGTGACACCTTGTGGTGCTCAACGAAGTACAAGAAGTGTAAGCCTACATGATGCGCCTGTTGATAGTGTGGGATGGATTATTTAGACGGGCAATATGGCCAAAATCTTATATCACGGGTTATTATTTCAATTTCACGTGGGGGGTTGTTTCGGCTGGGAAGCCTGCAATCTGTGATCACGTGCATTTGCTGAAGCTCGAGAAAGCGTGCAATCGCTTTCTTAGGTTTCATGAAACATTCGTTGTATTTCAACGCATGCAACGCATGTTTCAAAGATTCGGGATAGAAGGAGGCATCGGTTACTATAGAAGATTTGTCGCTTCGCGCCACTTCCTGTGTGGTCACTGCATCAACTGATTATAATGAGTTCTCTTGGTGTAGACATGGCTTTAGATGCGGATCAATCAGCGTTCACTGTCAAATATCATTCAGCATTCATTTTGAAATTTTGTCAAATATTTTTTCTTGATTACAAGAAAAAACAAAACATCTCGGTTATCTATGGTAACCCTCGTTCCCTGAAGGAGGGAACGGAGACGTCACTTCGGATAACCGATGAATTGGGGATCTCGCTTAGAGAAGTCTGCCGGGGAAACACGGGCTCTGAGGCCATACCGTGGACTTTGCACATATGGGATCCACTTAGGTCTCTAGTGAATGTGTTAGGGGTCTCCCAGCCTGCAGCTCTACAGATATCTGCCAGCGAGGCACCACGAGCCAGCGCGAGGTCCTGAAGCTTTGCGTCCGGTCTACGTAGCACCTTAAGGCTCGGACGGGACAGAGCAAAGCTAGGGCTGGGTCTGTCTCCTCCAGGGTCAGCGCTTGCAGGCTTACCACCTCTTGATGGAGGCCAGTGCAAACAGGAGCAGAGTTTTCATTGACAGAAACTTCAGCTCGACTGTCTGCAAAGGCTCAAATGGGCCCTGCTGTAGTGCTGTGAGCATTAGAGTCAGGTCCTAAGAGGGTATAGAGGGGGGCCGTGGAGGATTTAGCCTTCTCGCCCCCCTAAGGAACCTGATGATCAGGTCATGCTTCCCTTCTATGGGGTCGTGGTTACATAGACTTTGAGGGTGGAGGGAGACAGCCTTCACTCCAACCCTTGCTGCAAAAAGGACAGCACGACTTCTGGTTACATAGGCTTTGAGGGTGGAGGGAGACAGCCTTCACTCCAACCCTTGCTGCAAAAAGGACAGCACGACTCTGATCGGGCATCTTCGGGGGTTTTCTCGGTGAGAAGAACACCACTCAACGAACAGGTTCCACTTCAATGTGTAAGCGTGTCTC